TAACATATTTGATGACCTTCAATAATTCTTACTACATTTTAAAATTATCATACTTTTAAGTAAGTCCTTTTCTTTTACATGTATTGAAAAAATGTTTGAATTTGAATAAAATAATCTTGGGCTGGGGGAATAATTGGAAAAGATGAAATAAGGTTAGCCTTTGGTTTATTACATTACAGTGGTACCTCAGTTTATGAATACTTTTGTTTGTGAACAATCTAGTTTGCAAATGAAAGCATTTAGCAAAATGCTGCTTTTGTCTGTGAACTCTAATTAGGTTATGAACATGACCATGGCCATCTTCCTCACATGAACACAAACATGGGTATCTTTTCCAGACTCATGCAACAAATTAAAGTTCATGAACTGAGGTACTAGTATATTCTCTCCTTTAGTGTTTTTAAAATTTTGATCATAAACAATTAAAAACTATTTTTGACACAGTTGGTTCCACTAAACAATGAAAACATGCTAAAACTAGTTTTCATTATCTTGCATATAAGTTTGTGCTGGGAGACACTAGAGACATCTGATTAATAACAGTTTTAGGAACCACTGATTAGTGATTAGGTAGAAAGACTACATTATCAAGAATATTCAAAACTGCTTTTAATAAAAGGTAATGTTAGACAAATGATTAAAACATCCGTAAGGCCCTTGCTATGAAAGAAGAAATGATGAAGCAATATTGAAAAACATTAGTGGAGTGTTAATAGGACAATCTAATCAAAATATCCATTTGCCCTTGGCAATAAAGGGGTACACAAAGAGCTCCCATGAAGAATGCATGTGGAAGCAGGAAAGGTGCTGTGAGCTCCATGAGTGGTAAGCATGGCTCCCTCTTGTCTTGCTCCAGTACAGTAAGCAAAATAGGGCAAGTGTTCAGCTAACACACTGTTGCCTAAAGACCAGTGATTGGTAGAAGAAGGGTTGGAAGATCGAGGACAACAGGAAAAGAAGTCATTTTCCAAAGGATGAACTATCTATGCCATGGAGTACAGGTGGCAAACTGCCAGGCCTTCTGGTACCGCCTAGAAATGAATTCCTTGCCCACATTGTGTGTGAGATGGTATGGTAATATGGTCAAAGGGGTTCAGCTACTAACTGGTATGGCTGCATGTAAGAATAAAAACATCATATTATCTGTTCTTTTGATTATTATAGAAAAGCAAAGCACAGACAGTAAACTGTAAAGGTAAATACTGAATGTCAATGACTCCTAGGATGTGGTATGTCACAGGTTATTCAATATCGCCAGCTGTATTCCCATCACATCCAAAGTGGAGGGCCCAACTCCCTCTGGACATTTAAAAGATGACTATACTGGAAAATGATCGATGATGTAGAGTGTGCCTAAGGAGAGTCACATGGAGAGAAAACATTCTCTCAGGCTTTCATAGAGAGCACTTTGGCCAAGCAATGGCTGTGACTCATCCACATGGCTGACACTGACAAAGAATCTACAATCTGAGGTACAGGATCTCCGGATAAATCCTGAGGGGATTTCACTAACCTTATCAGCCCCAAAAGCTACAACTCTTGTTGCATAAGTCTTGCTTTCTTAACCATCCAGCAGAAAGTATAAAAACGAATTATAAGAAGTAAAGCTATGCTGTTATGTTGAGCTGTAGGGGACTCAGGTCAACAATTTCTGACGTTGCCAGTGAAGTGGAAGACCCAATACTATTATGGACTACTGGACTCTTTTAGAATATTTTGCTGAGTTAACACATCTATAATATTCAAATAACAGAACTAAACAAAAAAGGGTATACAGATGAATGTCCATTTTGTATCTGTGTTTCAAAATGGTTAGGATATATGGTTACATTCTCTTAATGAATAGAGGGATTTGTTCTAATAGTGTTTGTAAATAGGATATCATGTCCACATCTTGTACAGCAATTAACCACTAGGAAGAATGTATGCAATGTGTTAATTATTGAAACCGTCCTACCAAAAAAAAAAAGATGACTATACTAATAAGTCATCTTTTATCACTGATTCTGCCACATGACAGAAGAATATCTAGTACAAAAGTATTAGTTTCAGGCTTTCTTTTTTAAAGGATCTGCTATTCTTTTTTTTTATTTTAATAATTTATTTATTTAATTAATTTACTTATTTGGTATAGGGTCTTACTACACAGGTTGGACTTGTAGTGATCCTCCTGTCTCAGCCCAGTTTCAGTGGCCAGGGTTCTGGGACCGGCACAGCAGGCAGCACTGGGGATCTAACCTGGTTCCTTGTGCTTGCCAGGCAGGTGCTCAGACTGCTCAACTATCTCCCTAGCCCAGGACCTGCTATTCTTAAGCGCCAATAAAAATTACACACTGTGAAGACTTTCAATGTAAGAAACAAAACATTACATTCTTTGAATGCATAACATATAATTCAAAAGCTGTGAAATGTTTCCTCAGTAGCATCTTTTGCAGAATGAGAGAAGATATTTTAAAAGTGAAGAGAAAAGCAGAGAGCTTGGTATTCAGAAAATTAGATGAGGGAATGATGATAGCTGATAATCTTACCAGTAGTGCTGAGTCATCAACTAAAATTAGGTTTTTAATTTTTAAGAAGGCTACTAGGAGCTATACAGAAAGTTTAGTTTTAAAGAAAACACTTTTTAAAAGTAACCGTAGTAACAGCTCAAATTTATTTAAAAAATTTTTTCAACCATCATATAAGACAAATGCTATTATTATCCTCATTTATAAGAGGATACTGAGATCCAGAACTACTTTGTCATGTAAGTATATACACAGGATAGCTAAGATGATTCTGCTACTAATTTCTTTTTCTTTTTTTCTTTTTTTTTTGTGTGTGTGTGTGTGGAACCAGGGATTGAACTCAGGCCCTTGCACTTGCCAGGGAAGCGCTTATTCCACTGAGCCATGTCCCCGGCCCCCAGAACTACTTTGTGCTATCTCACAATTGGTCAACCAAGCAAGGAGCAGGATGTACTCACTACATACCACCTCCTACCCCTGCCGTGGACAGGACAGAGGGAGGAAATAAGAGAAACAATAGGAAAGAAGGAGGGATTGAGACAAAGAGTAGAGGAGGCCAGCGAGGCCTGACAGAGCAGGCAGGAAACACTTGCTAGGCCCAGGGAGTCCTCTGTCCCATTCCTGACCAGCTCCCACTGCACCACTCTCCAGGGTCCAAGTGCCACATGCAGTTCAACCTATACCCCTGACATGTCACTGAGATATGTGAGTGCATCATATTGGAAAAAAAAAAAATTAAGAATGTGACTTGATCTACAAAAGCAATCAGAATCAGTCTCTTAGGCTACTCTGCTGCTTTTTAAGTTCAGGAGCAGAAAGAGATCCATCCTGGGAACTAATTTATTGCAAGGAAACTATGTAAATTAGGAGAACTTAGAATGGAGCAGAAGCATGTTGCAACAGTGCTCTCAAAGGAAGAGCTCAGGGCACACCTAAGAATTTTCCCTTTAAGTATTATTTCCAGTATTTTAGAATAAAAATAGCTATTTGCACCTCAAATTCCTACAAAAATGTTCACTCTTTAGTGTACTTTGTTTGCCTTGCCTGTTTCCTTGAGAGTAATCTTATTTTACAGGTAGAAAAAGCAGCTCAAAAAACAAAACAAAGCAACAACAAAAAGAAAAACAAAAACAAAAAAATCTGAGCAGCTCAGACATTAAAAGACTAGGGTCTATAGGTGTAATGTAAGACTTGAACTCAGACACCATGCTAATAATTTTAAGGTTAAATTCAGATTTTTGCTGCTACAGACATAAAGCTGACAAGAAATATAGTGTGGAAAAATCCTTACTATGGAGTGGTGGTGAAAAATTTATTCACCTTAAATAAAAAAAAAAACTAATTAACAAATCTAAAATGTTATTTTTAGAACCTGGAAATCAAGTCCTTTATCAACTTCTTCCAGGCTAGCTGACAAAAACCAAAGGCAATGAAATCTGTCTATAACATACCCAAGCCAACACACCCAAGACAAACCAGAAGAGTTAAATTCCTATTTATAGACTAGCAACAATGACATTCTCAAGAACTTCAGAGAACTAATACATTTTGATAACAGCAAAAAATATTTTAGAACATTCTGTAGTATCCCTTCATTTCAGTCTTCTACTCATTTGAAGTATATCTGAAATGTAGGAATCCCATTATAAAAATAAAATTAGGAATTCTCCCCATTATATCTCTGGGTTTGCACAGGATTGTTTTGACTTAGCTGATAGTAGGCTGACAAGGCCTAAAACAGAGCTCAGGATAGAGGATAGTGAAATTCATTATTTTCCAAGATCTACATGTTTACTCTTAGTCCTTGCCAAGCATCCAGGTAGACACTGTTTTTGTTAGAAGCTCAGGCTGGATCAGTGGAGAGGATTACAGCACAAATGTCTAACTACCCTGGGCTGCACCTCCACATCCTGATAAGAAAGCATTCCTCAGATCAACAAATCAGTATTACCAGGGAGCTTGTTAATCACATAAATGTTCCCACCCTAGACCTACTGAATCAGAAATACTGATCTGATCTATTTGGGTCTCCACATGATCTTACTGTAGGCTGATTTGAGTTCTAAAGAATTCCAAGTTGATGATGAGAGAGCACAATTTCATGTAGGTGATGCTATTTTCAATTGTAATGGTAATTTTGGTTGCTATAAAATGAATGAATGAGTACCCCCTTAAATTCATGCTGAATCCTAACCCTTAGGATAACGGTGTAAAGAGGTGGGGTCTCTGGTAGGGGGAAGGCTGACGGAATGGGATTAGTGCCCTTACGAGCAGATCATGGGACTCTTTGGTCCCACCCTCAACATGTGAGGACATGAAGAGGTATCCTTGAGTAAGCAGGAAGCAGGTCCTCTGCAGATACTGAAACCTGCGCCCTCTACAGCCTCTATGTAAGAAACCATGCAGTCTCATGACAGTTGCTGCAACAGTTCAAACAGGAAAAGACACTGGGGAATTACAAAATTTAATTTGCTTGAAAATATGATTCCTCACCACAGGCCCACATGTCCACAGGCTTTCCATAGGGATCTTTACGTAAAACTTCTGGAGATAGATATCCAGGGGTGCCAGCAAAACCTAGGAAAAGTAGATGGTAAGGAATCAGAGCCAATGACAAATCAACATGGAGTAGGAAACTAAGAAAGAAAACTTTTCAGGGGCTTCTTTATTTGATTTGTTCTTTTTTTCAAAATAAAGCAAGGCTTTCTAAGTGCTAAATTAATGTAAGCTAGTTTCTCTTTATAGCAATATCAACATTAGTCTGTCCTCTCCTCCAGCTTATTTGGAAAAATAAAAACAAAATAAAACAACAAAACAAAACTGAACTAAACTGAACTCTTCTCCAGGTACAGAGGCCCATCACTGTGCAGACTTAAGGCTACTTCTGACTAGCAGTTATTATTGTCACTTAAATGAGAGTTAAAACAAATCTGAAAAGAAATAAGGAAAAAAGTGAAGGAAAAGATTAGAATCTTAAGGTGATCGTTATCATGATACATAAATAACTACTGTAAGTAGGCACCTATACACAAGACTATAAAAACATAGATACTAAGGACAATTTTGAAGCAAATCTTTAGTGAGCATTAATGAAAGTGCCTTGGGTGCAGGGCAATGAGGGTGAAGTAGGACAAAAAGTAACTTCAGATCTCAGGACAAGAACCAAGACACAAGTAGATCAAGGAGCTCCACATGTACTAATAAATAATCAGGGTGTACCCATAACTGGCAACAAAAGTGAAGACTCAGGAACATCCAGATGAATCACTATTGAATGTGCACCAAATAACGTTCAACCTAAGAGATTCTGGTAAGAGAAACTACATGGCCGAAAAAAGCCTCACATCTCCATAACCAGTATAAAATTTAAAAAAATTACTTTTAAATAAAGATCAATGTATAGCTTGATTACAGAGTAAAAAACTTCTGAAAATATTAGTTTTTCAAGTGAAAAATTATTTGAACATACCAAAGATAACCATTCTCATCTGAAAATTGTCTTGCAAAGCAGATAAGAACTGGGAAAATCTCTTTAAAAAGGAATATAATCAGGAATGTTTCCTACCAAAAATCATTCATAAAGTACTTTGTTTATTCACTTTGTATTCAAGAAATGAATTTTTCTCAATTCTGTGACAAACTTATTAATGATAAGCAATATGCAAAGACGTATGAAGAACATGTCATATGGCAGTTACTTCTGTGAACAAAAGTAGATTAGAAAGTATCTTTAGACATAAGGTTGGCACAAGGTATAGGCTGTCCTTAACTCACTGCATAGCCCAAAGGGACTCGAACTCATAATTACCATCCTGCCTCAGCCTCCTGAGTATTGAGATTACAGACATATACATGAAGCCTGGCTGGAGGGTTTTTTTTAAAAATTTTCATTACTTTTTTTTACTTTATTTTGTAAAACATGGGTAAAATGAGAAGGGACTCCAAGACAAGACCCATATATTGCAGTTCAAGCTTTACATGGATTAATTGCTAAAGCACTGGAGGTTCTATGTCTGGGGTTTACAGACTACTTGCAGGTATGGTGTGGAATCCCAGCTCTTTTGGTATGTCACCTCTGCCCTACTACACCTCCCACCCATTCAAGTCCTGTGAGATGAGACACTAGAAGAACCCAGTGAAAAATTGATGCCAAAAGTGAAGCTAAATCCAATGTCCAGAGGACAGCTTTCAGCCCCTTACCAGCTGGGTCCTCCTTATTTATAAGGTATGGTTCTTCCTCTGAGCTCCTGCCTAACTGATCTCTCTGTGCTCTCATGAAATGGACCTTGTCAAGCCCACTCTTGACACTACTTTTTCTATTACTGGAGTTTCCATTTTTTCTCCAGCAGAGGTTGGCTCTAAATTAGGTTCATCTTAAAACTTTCCTTAGATGCCTACAATTCTCAGTGATATATTCTCATTCTAAATTCAGTCTTTTCTGTAAATTTACAGTTCTCTATCTAAAATTAATAAAAATATTTATTTATTTATTTATTTATGCAGTACCAAGGATCAAACTTGGGCCTCTGTGCTTGCCAGGCAGGCCCTTATGCTGGTGAGCTATATCCCCAGCCCAAATTTTACATCTAAATGACTTAGAATATTGGCCAATACTAGAAAATGTTAATGCGTCTCCCTAGAGAAGATAGGGAAACTAAATTACTACATGTAAGAAAAATGATCATTTAAGTAGAAGTGATTAGAAGTAGCCTTGTAAGTCTACAGTGCTAACAGAATACCACTGTACTCATTTTTACTTGCAATGACCACCTTATGTGCACGGGCAGGTCCTGCCCCTGAGAGTCCTGAAGCACACATTGCTTCCTGGGTGCTGGGAACAAGCCACTGTTCTGTGCCCTCATGAACAATGCTTGAACAACTGGCAAGGCCCTCTTCAGTGGGCGAGTAAACTTGCCAGAATCTAGGATTCTTATAACCTGTGTTATCAATAGGGAAATTAATAAGAGCTTGCCTTCATTAGAGAGAGCACATATTTATACTCTGAAAAACAGGCATGAATATCAAAACAAAATGAAGACAGGATTATTTATACTTATTGTTTATTTTCTCCATGCTGGGGGTTGAACTCAGGATCTCACACGTGCTGGGCAAGTATCCTATCAATGAGTTCTAGTTAATTGATTACGCTGATGTTGTTATTTTTTAAAAAAGAGCCTTGATAGTTAAAGTAGGAGTTATAACAGCTACCAAAATAAGCAAGATTGTGAAGGAACACTGCCATTTTTTTTCTGCTTCCGCTCCCTCCCTCTTTTCCTTCCTCCTTCTTTGCCTGCTCCCCATCTTTCCAATAACAATAACATGCTAGAAACATAGAACCACCCTGAAAATATCTCCAGCTCCAAAGGATAGCAGGCAATATTTGGATATTTCTCCTTGATTATATTTTTAACTGTTTTTATCAAATGTGAAGGTGTCACTTCTAGCCTTTTCGACGAGTGTTCAAATAGATCAGAGCTATGAAACAAGAAATAAATAAGGGAAAATACAATCATATCTAAGCTTGGAAATTAAAGTTAAAAAATATAGTAGTTAGAATCTTTGTCTTATACTATGTATTTCTTTACATCTATCATATATACTTTTCTTATTTGTAATATAAGTTATATTTTAAAAAATAAAATTACTCAAAAGCTTAAAGCTGCAGAATTATGTATCATGCAGAGTCCTAGTCTCTTCTTAAAATAACAACGCTTTTTCTCTTCTTTTGACATACACCTTAAAAGTCAAATTAATCAGTCACATAAGTGAGATTCTCATGACAAACAATGAACAGATATCAAAACAAGTCATTCATATTAAAATATTTCTTTACTCTTAATCCCGAAAATACATCTGGAAATATATCCCAAAGAAACTCAGAACCCCATGCACTTCCTTTGGTTACTTGAAGTAGAGGATAGAAAGAAAATGTATGCTTCCCTAAACTCAGAAACTATTTTTATACTTATGAAATGCTAAACTGTCTAAGAACTTAAGATGCATCTTTTTAAAGTCACACCTCTGTGGTTGCCTCATCAAGAGCTTACCTGTGGATCACACCATCCAGATAAAGATATGGGGCTGTTACTGTTGAACTACTGATCCACTGGTGTTTCTCTGGGAGAAATGAATTATTACAGTTTGAAACTCTATGTGCTCCTTTGGGAAGCCTGATACTCAGTTTTCCATGCTCCCATTCCATACAAAGAACTTCTACTGAACAGGCAAGGAACAGTGACATTGTGTTTCATACCAAGATGGTTTTGAAAACCTTCTGAGCATCATTTATAGTTTAGTTATGACCCTCTGAGCACATAACAGTGATGTGAAAGAGGGTTTATGATCACCATTTAGAAAAAGGATGGAGGTTGCAGAGTAATGACTGTGCTATGTCATTCAGCTATTAAGAATCAGAGTTAGGACATAAGTTCAGGTATTTCTGACTCAAAAAGGATAATTTATTCAACTATATGCAGTTGTATCAAATGACATGTTAAGTTAGCAGAGAAACGCAGAACACAAAAATACGTGTGATTTAGGGAGTGCAGTTTCAATGTGCTTGTCACTGTAGAGCCAATGTTGCCGACGTTAATCTGAGTGCAGCTCTGACAGTAAAGGTTTCTGTGTTATTTCCTCTTCAATCATCACTACTTTGTATTGAGTTCTGGAAATTCTATCCCTGGGCCTAAATCCTTATTTCAGCATCCTGTCTCATACCACAAGTCTTCCATGAAGTCGGTCATACTTTGCTCTAGACAGGATTAGAATCTTCTGAGCCTTTTGATAAGCTGATCCCTTTGCTTAGAATGCCTGTCTTTCCTTACACATGAATGGAAAAAACTTCCATTCATCTCTTAGACAACCATAAGTTTTGTTTCCACTTACTTCTATGAAGGCAGAATTTCATACTTCCTTTGTGTTCTAAAGCACCTCTTGCATACTTATTTGTATTTCTACATCATCCCACCCTGTGTAGTGAATAACCACCCACCACTTTTGAGAGTCAGGGCCTTCCATCTATGCAATACCTTCCTGTCCTATCTCTTGATAGCCTTATAACTTCTGGTTGAAGCCCTGACTCTTGTTCCTGTGTGTTTTTTTCCAATCATACTCTCTTCCAGGATAAAAACCTATGTGTGAATCTCCCAATTTATAGAGCTAAATCTAGGTCTTCTCATCTTTTAGTTTGCACTTATGTCGAATAAGCTTAACCCAATGTGAAAATATAACAAATGACAATTCTGGAAGTAGTAAATTCATCAGTGGGGGAGTTGTGGTAAGGAAATAATTAAAAGGTGGCATTAATCTTGGGAGCGATCGCCAACACTGTTAACTGCCAGGACTACTAACAAAGGACAGGTAGCAGAAAACCAGGTCATGATTTAGGCTGTTGGCAAAGGAGTGTGGGAAGTTGCCAGGCCACCTGCTCCCTTTAACTACCTGGGCAGGTTACGAAGATACGGTGGCTCCTGGGAGCTCTGTGTACATCTTCAGAGATACATATAGTAGGGATATAGAAAAATATTTGCACAGAAAACAAAAGCAGTAGGTCCTTTTGAGGTCTCTTTATTTTTGTTGTTGTTTGGAGGAAAATAAATTAGAAGGATACTTTTAAAAATTATCTAACCTTAACTTGTAGAAAATCATGAAAAATTAAGAATGAAGCATAGGAAAAGACTATAATTTAGAATTCTATATTAAAAAAGTAGGTTAATACTAAGGAATGATAGAGAGGGAAGCACAAAAAAATTGATGGGTAAAACAATTTAATCAGGCTGAAGTTTGGAATAAGCCATACACCTGGGTAGAATTCAAACTTATTTAGAGTTGATTTTTTTTCTTAATATAAACATACCTTTTTTCTTAATATAAACACTGAGAAGACAATACTCCCAAGGAAGGTGCCTTTGCCTGCTGCACACAGAGATTTCCTGCACTTCTTTCTTTTGCTGTGCTTTCTCACCCATGGACGGCCATAGAAACTAAATTCTTCTTGAAAAGGTGAATCACAGAAATTAGAAACCCTCTCCTCCAAAGCCAGCCATATGATTCAGAAATATTACTTCAACCTTCTCCTTTCTAAGATCTGGTATAAAGGAATCCTTTGGCTACCATTCCTGACAGTAGATCACGAGGCATCCCCATGTACCAGATGGAGTCCTGACCCATAGCTGGGAGATGGGTGGATGCTGCCAGCGAGGATAGGAAGCATGTGAAAAGATAGATCCTGCTGTGTTCTTTCCTCCTTCTGTTTCCACTGGGCTACACCTTCTGTCCCTCACTTTGCTACACAGCTTACATTTTTCACTGAATGGAACATATAGTAAGTTTTCCCTGGGTCTCTCTGTTTCTTTGAACAATATAATGTAAAACTTTTGATAAAATAAATCTGTTATACTTTTCTTTCATTATTCTGTCTTTTGGCAGAGGAACTTGGGCAATAATTTTTATAAAGAGCAAAGATATCATAAAAGAAGGTTCATCATAGTTATAATTTTAGTGAGAAAACTGGCACACATGGACAAGTAGAAGATAATTAAGATAAACACTCTAATAACAAAATATGTGAAATATTTTATATTTCTGAGTACCTACTATTTGCATAAGTAGTCCTAAGCATTAAGTGAAGTTGTATGTTAACAATTTCCTTCCAAATAAAAAAGTACTTTGGATTGTAATCCTATTAGTTCTTAGTACAAGATTGATTTCCTCATCCATCTTCTATGGAAAAATTATTAATGTTGTCTCATTAATGTTTTCTCTTAAATTAGTGCTAGCTACCTAGCAATTGAATGCCGGGTACAAACAATATAATGAAAGTCCAATATTTTAAAGTTAAGTCTAGATAGTGCTGGGACACAGTTGGGGTGTAGCTCAGAGTAGAGCACTTGCCTGGCACACATGAGGCCTTGGCTTCAATCTCCAATACCACCCTCTCCACTCCCTTACACAGATGTTTCTTGGATAAATACTTCTACCTGATTTGGGCTAGCAAGTGGGATTACAAGCACAACTTAGAAGCCACGAGACTAGGAAACATGAAGGAGAGACATGCTACTCACCAAACCATGCCTGCTGGTCGCCTTGAACTTCTATGGCTAAGCCAAAGTCTGCCAGTTTCACAGCTGCCCCCTTGGATTTGCTAGCTAAAAGCAAATTCTCAGGCTTTATTGAGAAAGAAATAAAAGAGACTGAAGTAAGAACCTACTGTCAGTGAGTATTTAAAACTAACAACAGTTTTACAAAATTTGGGAGGGGGAAAAAACCCAAGTCATGCACTGTCGTCTCTCCCGGAGTCTGCCATTCCTGAATCCCAGGGAAAATATGGTTAGAAATGCTTATAAATTTTCATGTGCGCAAGCTTCAGACAGATGCATAAGTGAGGGGAGAGGCAGTAGGTGGAGGGAGAGAGCAAAGAGAGGCCAGCACCTGTCTGACCAGCTCACATGCTTCCAGGGCCCCCTTGTGAAGCAGCACGGCCGCAGACATGGACTGAGAAGCCTAACGGAGCACAGACATCTTCAGCAGAAGGCAGCTTGGCAAAAGGATAACAAGAGTTGGACCAGTCTGCAGACATTTGGCAAATGGAACTGCACAAATTAAATCTTAGTTGACTTTAAGAGTTTGGACCCAAGTGGAATGATTTGGATTCTTTAATGTTTCCAAACAATTTCTGTACCAATTTGGGAGACTGCCTCTGAATTATGTATTAAAATTGCTCTCTTTAAGAATCTGTTTATTCTTAAAGACAGAAAGAGTAACTACTATTTGCCAAATGTTATAGTTAGCTTTTTGCTTTGTAAGCCAGATTTTAAAACATAATTTACATTTCTTCAAAGTGTGATTCAAAACATCACTTATATATTTATTCTCCCATCTCAAAATACTATGAGGAAGATAAATTTTATTTTCTTGGGTATTTATCATTACTTAGGGACTGATAATTCAGTTCTGAAATAAGGCTGTGTCTACACCATTGTTTCCCAACCAGTTCAGTGAGATGTAGTGGTACTGTGAAAATAAGCACCACAAATAATTCTTCACTTACACGGAGCACCTTGTATGTGTTTTAAGAAATAAGGAGACAAAATGGTTAGGAAAAGGAGGCTGGTTAGATATACAGTGATGTTTACAGAGCCCAGCTATCTGGATGAACATGTGGCTGGGTTGGTTTACACATGAGAGAGGGCTTCAAAGGCTTCTAACTTTGGGAAAAGAACCATAAAATTTGGAGCCAGGGTCTCAGACTGAAAAAAGTTGGGAAACAATGGATTATACAAAAACTATTATCTGAAATGCCAAAACTTTAGCCAGTCAAGTTGATTTTGTTTATATACTGTAAAACAAGAAATTTTACATTTTTTATCCAATTGACTACTTTCATCTCCTTTTTAAAATCAAATTAATCAATTCTGTTGGTTGTTTTGATCTAGTGTAAACACAGCCTAATTCATTACTTAATTCATTAATTAAGCCAGCCATGCAAAATAGCAAAAACCCGATAGCCATAACTTGGGAAGAAATTAGGTTAAATCAACAAGAAATTAGAGTGTGGGCAAGTACGCTTTAATCAAGTCCCAGGCTTCTTCAGGCCGCTGCTGCCCACTGCCATCAGATTCATCACCACTGTGACAACTGTGATGTGAGACAACCTTTGAAAGTTTTCAGAGCTCACAGCGTTTTGAACTACATCCACATAAAATACATGACTTAATTTGGACTTGAGGATGATGTCTCAGGAATATGAAAAATCTTCATGGTGAAATAACCTATAGGAAAGCCTAACATTTGAAATTATTTGGAACTCTGGTTATTTGTCAGTATAATGAAGTATCTAATCATATTAAATTATTCATATTTGGCATTTTACCTTCACAACTGAAATTTAAAGTCTCATGCCTTTTCTAATTTAGTAAAGATAATTTCCAGTTATTAAATTATGAAATATGTAACTTTGACAAATCACATCAAACTACAAGCAACAGCTGATTCTATTTCATGGGGAGCTTCAATCTATGTTTTTTTGTTTTTTGGCGGTACTGGGGATTGAATGTGAGCTTCAATCTAAATGCATGAGACATCAGAGATATCTGCTAAATACACATCTGACCAAATTTGTCAACCACAGAATCATTCGAGGAAAGAGTTCCAATCACTTTAAAAATTATAGCCATTTTAGGACTTTTAAGTCAAATAGTACTGAGCAAAAGCTATTCACATTAGAAAATAAACTTTTAAAATATTTAATAGCTTTTACTCATCACTAAATTGGAGAGCTCTGGGGAAGTGCTTTGTGCATTCTGCCTATAGACACCATGTCTGCCAATTCAAAAGAAATGGAAAGCTCTGGAGTTTTATCACACCTGACCTCAGCATGACTGAGGCAAACATTAAGAACTAGAGACGACCTAGGAGACCTCACTTTAGGACCTCGTGAGTTATCTAAGAAAATAATAAATCCAACTGGATCAGTGTTTCACCTTAGATTCATAAAGACTGTTCAACTGCAGTTATGGACAAGAAAAAGTAGGGTTTTTGCAGGGAACTGTATACATTTAAAAATGAATAGCACTGCAATGGCTTCACACTTTCATACTGCTTTTAGGCAAAACAACAACACAGAATGATGGAGTACAAGTGGAAAATTTCGAGGTTATTAAGGGATTTGCTTTTTAATGTTTCATTGAAGATTAAGTGATAAGCATGAATGAAACCTTAAAGTACCACACAAATTTAATTTCTATATAATTCTTTGGGATACATCAGTTTGAACAATCCTGTCCTCATGCCCTATGCGAGGTGAGAGGCTTCACCACTGTGAATTTCTAAACAAGTACGTTAACCAGGAAAGGCATGTTTATTCTGATTTTCTTCAACCATTACATCCAAAATAGCCTCCAACTTGAAAATACGTTGTGCAACAAAAGCTCACTGCCAGGTAGATGAGTTTGGATTCTAATAGTAATATTCTACCAAAGTGAGAAAGAGTGGAGATTTTCACCTGGTCAGTAACTGGCTTTTTTTTTTTTTTTTGGTGGAACTGGGGATTGAACTCAGGCCCTTGCCCTTGCCAGGGAAGTGCTTATTCCACTGAGCCATCTTCCTGGACCTAACTGGCTTCTTAGGAAGGATCATCATTTGTTTTAAAAACTCGGGCCTTCTAATGCAGCTCAACTGGCTATATGTGCTGGGGCAATGCACAGCTCCTTCAAGTTCAAATTAGTTCTATCTCTCAAATTAATTCAGAAGGCGTCTTCTCTATGGCAGCCAAGAATTCATGGCTATTTCAATGTGTAAAACATTTAATATTTGGAACAAGTGGTCAAAGCCAGATGGGTCACTATTAATGAAGTTAACTTCAATGTCATGTATTGTTAGTCTTAATTTGTTGAGATAATCTTTAAATTCCTAAAATGTAAACACTTCAGGATGGTTCTTAAATAGATTTTACTGACATTCTCATACACAGGTTCTCTCCCACCCCATTGCTTCCTAATGATGCAGGATTTTCCATGACATCTGGTCTCAGTGCCAACAACCATTTATAGCATATCAGCTGCAATGAGCAGCAACTGTTTGCAAGTTGTGTTTTGTTCTTCTGTATGCATACAATGGCAACTTCTTTCAACAGGACTTCAGATTTTTTTGAAATTGTTCAAATATCTCAGTGTCCAAGGCATGCTGCAGAACCACTTCCACAACTGTGAGAGACTTGGGCTAAAAAATAATTTGCTCCTCTCAGATTTTAAAGGTAGGGAGGTGGGAAAGTCCAAAAACATGAAGCCAGGACTCAAGCTAGATTTCCCAGTTCCTTCTTTTTAAGGGTGGCACTCAGAAAGCCTTTCTGATGGTACAAAAATAGCTCATTTTCAGAAAGTAATCAATTCAGTTGATATTTTTGGAAGAATCGGAAGCATTCAAAAATATTTACTACCCAGATTCAAACACAATAAGAGGAAAATTAAAGACAATTTTGATCTTGTTCACTGTCATTATCTTTATTAAGTAACTGACTTGACAAAGGCTGTGATTATCTTTAGAATTAGTCAAATGGATTTTTGTGGGCATATATGTGATAATAAGATATCACTAGGAATACATATGCAAGATCATCGATTTTTAGTTATTTCAGCACTTTTTTCTTTTTGAATAACTAGTTCTATTATTATATATTATTTGATTTTCACATTTTCTTTGATGTTATTTTTAAAGCATACAAACTGTCATTTTAAGTTTCTTTCCATTACTGGAAAATATACATATTTCAATCAGAAGTTCCACTTTTGTGTATCTTCATTCACCTTTTCCCACCAAAGAAGATGTGAAAAAGCTCCCTGAATGCATTAAATGAGGCTTTGTAGGTCTTGAAAAGCTTGAGTTCATGCTCACTTTTTTTTTTTTTTTTTTTTGCTGAGCTGGGGATTGAACTCAGGCCCTTGAGCTTGCCAGGCAAGTGCTTATTCAACTGAGCCATCTCCCCAGCCCCTTCATGCTCACTTCTTCACTTGTGAAAATGGTACAAGTAGGTGTAGCTTCTGCTTCTTATATGGAACAAATGACTAAATTCACATCCTGGCACAAGGAATTTCTAGCTGCTATGTGCTTAAATTTCAATCAGGTTGTACTACTTCTGTCATCATGCATTCCTGAACAGGTTCATAAGATTTACTCTATATTCCATTCCTGTTTTTTGTTTTACCTTCATATCATCAGCATATACTGTTCAAAGAACCTAAGTATAACTATTTTCTACCATTTTTCCACTTCTTTTTTTTTTTTTTTTTTTTTTTTTGCGGAACCAGGGATTCAACTCAGGCCCTTGTGCTCTCCAGGCAAGTGCTTATTCTACTGAGTCATCTCCCAAGCCCATTTTTCCACTTCTTGATACAGACAAGGCACTCTGTAAACAGTAGAAAGACTACTTGAATTACTGAATTTTTCTCATACAGTTTCTAAAATATCTAAATATATACTATATACAAAGGGATGTCTTTTAAACTTTTATCTAAATATGGTTTTGAGGAAAGTAGAATATTTGTGGTACTGCAATTATTCAGGATGTAGAACTCACAACTTGATTTATATCCTACCCATAGATTTCCTCAGTGCCCTTCTGCACATTCATCCCTGACAACGAATTTCTAGTCTGCTCATTAATTTATTCC